TGCAGCCCAACACTCTACAACCTTATATAATTGACCTGCCTCTTTCTGTGAGGAGCTCTCACTCTTGGAAAGATTTGAAAAAGGAAATAAGAAAAAGATAGTCAACCAATTTCATCCTAAATGCAAATAATAATGGACTAGTAGACACATTAATTACTCTTTCGATGATTTTGTTTCATTTATTTTGTACTTGCAAGATTGATAGCTCTCAATTCTATGGTGACAATATCTGCAGGTGGACAGTGAAAGAAGATCGAGGTTACCAAATCTATCCTTGTTAGCAATTATTGGCAAATGTATTAAAAAATTGAAAGTAAGTAATAATATTAGAACATATAATTGTTTTCTCTAAGTGAATTCATACTAAGACTCACAATATCCAAATTCTAATGTTAATTTGCCTTTCAAAATTTTAGCCAGTTGAGGTAAATTGCTTCACTCAACTTATTTGTAAGAAGAGTTCTGATTAAACTATTTGATACAATTTTGATAGTTTTTATAGCATAAGAGTTATGGACTGTGATTCATGTTGAAGTTATTTGTGTAGGTTAAAAATGTCACCAAGAGTCAGTGGTAAATTAGATTTTGAAGAACATATTAGAGACCCAGGTGGCTTCTAAGATCTCTGAGGGGAGCTAAGATTATGTAGCTCCCTGAGTAAATTTACACAGTCAAGGAAAATGTATTTCCCTATATTAGATCTATGGGTTGAGTCACTGAATGCTTTTATCAACAAATCTGGGTTATTCCTCAAGGACAACTTGTTACCTTTTATGCTATCATTAATCTAAGATGATGCTAAGAAACCGCATGTTGTTAAATAACTCTTCAGTAACATGATTGACTTTGAATTTAAAGAACTATTATATAAATCATGTACTACACTGGGGCACAGTACTCTCTCATAGTTTTATGTAGCTTAGTAGGTACTAGCCAAGAATGTATGCCTTCTTTACACAGCTATAGGTTAGACTATTTAACAGTGTTGCTGTCATCAGCTAAAATGAAAAGTAAATTTGTACTGTTTCTAAGTATAGGAATGCAATCAATATGGATCTCTACATGAAGTGATCAATTAGTTTCTGAATATTGCATCTATAATTATAAATACAATCATAATTAAATGTACATCAAATTCTGTTGGCAGAATTTACTGAAAATATTCTCTGGAGCTATTAAGATCAATATAATTTCTTTCAACGGTTGACATTCTATGTACTAATGTGAAATTATATAAATGAATATTTTACTGAAATTACTTTCTTTAAGACTTACTCTTTCTGTATATTTATACCACAAATTTGATTCATAGTAGAAGTATCAATTTAACAATTTTGTATCAATTTTATGGATTATTACTGGCCTTATAAGTTTTGATTATACTGACTATAATCCGACTGAGGTTATCTAAGGTAAAATTTTTAGTCATTTCCAACTGGATATGTGTGGGGAACTGAGCCCTGTACTCCTATGCATAATGTACTTAACTGTCTGCCCCTCACACCTTTTTAAACCTATTGACTAAAGACAAGCTGAATTTTGCAGTAAGACCCAATTATATTAGCAGCATTTTTAACATACTAATGATTACTTTTATACACTCATAATTGTACTGCCTTCTGTGGAAGTAATGCTGTAGTGTTCCTATTAGTCCATAATGGCTGCCTAAAATATTTCTTATTGGAGGTCAGGAAACCATGATGAGGTCAGTTTGGGTTAAACTCAAAAAGAATAGAATGGAAATAGGAAAAATTATTATTCTAAAATTGTAATTTTTTTTCTAGCATTTGATCTGTTTGTAATCTGGCTGAAATTGTGTTGAAGATCTAACAATAATTTATATAATTGTTTCTGGGAAAACGTGCTATGATTATAAATAACGGGGATAAAATTATTTTTGAAACAGTCCGTTATTTAAATTCTCTTCTGTCAAAATTTTGTGATTAGTAGGTATCATGTCATTTTGACTTCTATAACAAAATAGCTTATACTGGGTAGTTTGTAAAATACCAGAGCAGAAGTTTGTCGTTCAGTTGGGAAACTGTAGAGACAAAGCTCAAGGAGCCAGAAAACTGTCTGGTGAGGGCACTCCTTCTGCTTCATAGATAGCACTTTTCCACCATCCTCACATGATAGAAGGGATAAACAAGCTCCAGGGGCCTCTTTTTTAATGGTACCAGCCCCATTCATAAGGGCAGAGGTCTCGTGACCTAATCGTCTTCTACAAGTGTCTCCCTTAATATGACTTCGTTAGAGAGTGGCCTTCAACTTATGAATTGGAGGGAGAAGCACTCAGACCATGGCAGCAAGTAGTGGTGTAACTGAGGCAGAAAGAGCTCTCACCAGCTAACTGAACTGGATTTTGTACAGAATGACAGGACCTTTGTGGCCATCAGAGTCCCCATCCAGTCACCCATTCACTGAACACTTGTTCATGGAGATGCTAGGCCACAAGCAGAGTGCAGTCATCTTCCAGGGTCCAGTTTAAGGGAGATCAGAAATATTGTGAGAAATTCTAGGACTCAGAGGTCACACATTCTGGAATATCTCACACAAGTTAGCAAGTCAGCCCCAGGGAGGATGTGATTCCAACTTGAGAAGGAAAAGGAATCTAGGTTGGTCTAGAATCTGCCATAGAGCCTTCCTGTCTTAGGAAATTTTTACTTTTTCAGATTCAACAAATATTTAATTGAATTTATCCATTCATAATTTAAAAAATACTTTGTTAGCAAACTACTAATAGAAGTGAAATTCATTAATCTAATGGTATCTCAAAATCCTACAGCAAACATTTCTTTAAAAAAAATAAAAACACTATATTAAAAGACACATTGTCATTCAAGACACTCCTTGCTTCAAACACACTTATCCCATTATTCTTGCCACTTTCTTTTTTAATTAAAAAATGTTTGTTTGCTTTGGTCATACAGATTAATGGGTTTTATTTTGGCAAATGAGTACATATACGTAACCTACTTTGATCACTTTCTCCCTCCCCATAACTCTCTTTGTCCTGCCACCCCCCCAGCTTCACAGTGTTTGAGGGCAGATTAAATGTATATCTATATTTAGATAATTTTAACAGGGATCAGAGGGCTCATCATTCTCATAGGTCAGACCAATAATCATGGAGACACAAATAACCAATATGCAAAATAAATTTCCAAATAAACCATATGTCACAGAGTCCCGCATGTTTTAGGAAGCACACCTAGGCTGTTCACCCTCCAGGGCATACTTTTCTGCCCAGTGTTAAGTACAACTTTTAATCAGACTGGTAATTAAATCATCATATTTATTAGAAAGTTCAAAGTCATCCTGACCTCTGAAAAATTATCCAAGACTCAGAGTAGGTTTTTTAAATATAAATTACTGCACATCCCTTTCAATTTTTCCTCTCCTCCGACTAGTACAGGGCGTATCTCACTGTGTTTAGATATTCCTCTTTCTCACATGCTGCATTGTGTGGAGGTGGCCTTAAACCACATTCGACCCGGGCATTAACACATCTTCAATCACCACTGAATATTGTGAACACTGGAAGGAGGTATACATGGAAACTGGGCCCAAATCTCTGTTCTATCAACCCTTTCACTATGTAATATTATTAAAAAAAAACCACTTTAAGTGGAAAATCATGATAAACACACAGATTCTTAACAGGGTTGATTTTTAAAAGTAATAGAATTTTGAAGATTAACATCTGACATAGGTGAGCAGCTAGTCTGTGGTTGATCCCTATTATTACTGTCTTGCTACACCGGCTCTCTTCTTTCTTCTACCACCACTGCCAGTTTCTGCACTTGGAATTTGCTAATTTTCTACACAGCAAACTGTCATTGGGAAACCTGGTTTCCAACTTCTTCTAGGGAAAATTTACATCTAATGTACATATAGATTATATATGCTTATTGATAAAAGCAAGGAGTGAAAGTAGATGAAAGTTTTTGGAAAATAAAATAATAAAGTAAAAATATAATGGATATCAGAAAATTTAAGGTGAGATTGGGAAAAAATATAATTTTCAGAAAGTAAAGCTTATAGGTGGGCAGATAATGCATAGGGTGAGAAAGAAATGAGAAGCAGTGTTTTATGTAGGTAGTGGTTGCATTTATTTAGACAATTTTTAATCCAAAATATCTTTCTATGGGTAGCTGATTTACGTGCATTTAAAATGTGTTCCATTAAGTGGATCTGTGTTGGTAAACAGTGAAAGGGAAAGGGGGGGAACAAAAGAAAAGCCTAGTCCAAATTTGTAGCTTTTGCTAATGCCTGTGGTGTAAACATTCCCACCACAGTCAATGTTAAGCTACCAATTTGGTACCACTAAATGTGGAGTTGAAAAGAAATTCACAGCATTGATTTTCTTGTGACCCAGTACAACTGGCTCCAGCACATGTCTGCTTTTTCAACTTTACCAAAGAAAGAAAGTGAATGCCAATGGCATTGTATTTTTAATGGTGACCGCAAAATGATTCTGAATCCCTGTGCTAGGAGTTAAGTGGACTCGATACTTACTATGTTGCTGTCTCTTTATGGACTTGAAGGCTTCGTCTTAGGGATTGCTCATTTCCTTCTGAGCTCCTTGGCTTCAATTACGGTTAATTGTGACCATAAAAACTATTAATCATTTGGCAAAGGCTACTTCTGAGTGGGGGGAAATCAACAGAATAGATTAACACATTAGGTAAGTCATAATGGCTTTTTCATTATAAAATTTTTATTAGAAATAGCAAGACAGCATATAACAATCAATTTATTATTTATATTAACATTAAGCAAATTTTAAAAGAATATGAGCACAGAGGTACAATTTAGCTTCCAGTCAAATTCTTCTATATTAAGCTTCCCCCCTCCCCCCATGATATGTTTGAAAGAAATTCATTTTCCCTCTTGGGCACTGCTTTTGGTGTCGGAAAACAAAGGTCTTGACATTTCCATACATTTCCGTACATTTCCCTGAGTCGGTCACCCCACGGTCCTCTTTTTCCCTATTGTAGGTTTCCTCAAATACTTGTCCTAAGCCCCTCTTTGAGAGGATCTAAGAATGTGTGGGAATGGAGGAGCCAGCCGGAGTGGAAGGGATGTTCCCGCAAGAAGGTACTGAAATGTCAAGCAAGTAAGCGAGCACGCAAGCACAAACTGCGCCTTTTCATCTCAGCGGTGGTGAAGGCCTCGGCCTTCCCAGCTGGATCTCTGGACGCTTCTCCTTCCAGAGTATAGAAGACAATGGGCAGCAGGGACAGAATGGTGCTCTACGCCCCTGATCGAGAAATCAGGTTGCCTCCTTGAAGGGGTCTAAGAGCATCAGCCAAGTTTTCTAAGAAGCACTTCTGTGAGACGCTAGCATCAAAACGTGCCTTTTCTCATGCAGCCCCATTAGCTGCTCTCCGGAGCTGGTATTGACACGTTAATAGAGAGTTATCCATTGCCTTAGAAGCAAACACGTTTTGGGTAAACATGGGGGCAGTGGGTGCCCCCGAGAATTTTCACCATCAGCAGAGGCCCTGAGAGTTGAAGCGATCGCACAGTGCTGGCACTGAGCACAGCTGTCACTAGAAGCTGGCTTGTGTGGCACAGGTGACCCTTGGGAGGCAGCTCACTGTTATCCAACTTACTGCACAACTGTGGAACTCGCACCTTCCGTGTAAAAGGCATGAGCTCTCATGTAATTGTTAAAATTTAATTTTAAAATGTTTTATTAGTATATATTTGCATTGCATAACGTTTACATTCCTTGTGTGGAGTCAGCACATGTACATAAATTTCAGGCATATAATGTGTTATTATTGCTTATGGTTATGTGATACATTTGATCTCCAGAACTTTTTCATCTTCTTTCCTTCCCTTCCCTCTCCCTCCACCTCTTGACCCCCTTCTCATTTAAGAAAGATCTACATTCTTACTTTCTATTGTTTATCCTTTATTTCACTCTTCATTTATATTTTGAGTTTCTCATACAAGAGGAACTATGTGATTTTAATGTCCAGAACATGGAAAATATTTTTGTTCCCTCCCTCCTTCCTTTCCTTTCTTCCTTCCTTCCTTCTTCTTTTCTTTTTTACCTTTCTCTCCATTTTATGGAGGTATGGTTGACAAAAATTGCATATCTTTAAGACGATTTTTTTCATGTACATATATGTTGTGAAATGATTACCACAAAGGAGCTGAATGGCAACCTTTTACCTCACATAATCGTGTGTGTGTGTGTGTGTGTGTGTGTGTGTGCAGAAAAATCTTAACATCTCAGCAAACTTCAGGTATATAATACATCATTATTCATTATTATTTTACAATATATCAGATCTCCCAAACTTACTTTATAACTGAAAGTTGTACATTTTGACCAACAGCTCCACATTTTCCCCATCCCCAGCTCCTGATAATTAACCTTATCTTTTTTTTTAATGGATTTATCTTTTTCAGATTCTACAATAAGTATCATCATGCTGTTTCTTGAGCTTAACCAAAAACTATTTAAATTTAAGACTCCTGGAAGTTCTGATCCCTGAAACTTTGTTATATTCGGCTCTATTTTACTATAGAAAATCAGTAAATCACAGGGTGACTCCGGTGAATGAACTGAGTTGTAGGACTTAGTGCCACAGTGTCTTATTGGACATTCAGTCTTCTTTAGGTTGGGTTTGGAGGTGAAAAATCTCAGTTTTAGAGCAAATGTATATTGTGCCCAAGAATTTATAGCTAGGAAGTAACTTAAACTTAATTATTTGAGGCATCTAAAAGGCTAATGTTTTACTACCTCTGATATTGAATATATATGGGTTAGACATTTAGGGAAATTACCAAGTGGATTACTTAGAGTCTGTAAATTTATTAGGTTTCTGTTTTACTTTTGCTTTCAGTCTAACACAACTGAGGTTATCACACAATTCTGGATTAGGATTTATACCTCTGTGATAAAGTGAAAAGGAAGAAATTAATATTAAGAAAATGAGAACTGTGGAATTCTTTTCCTTTAAAAATAGTTGACTATTTGAAACTATTTTTAAATTTTTGGTTTTTCCTATCTTTGCTTGTCTCTTTTTGTTTGGTTATGTATTGATTCCAAAGGGAAAAGCTAGCTTTTAAAATTCTGTGATCTGTACGGTGAGCAGATGCTTATGATGTCTCCTTGTCCTCAAGGGAAGAAGTAGAGAAGACAGGACTCATTGGTGAGGGCCTGAAATGCTGCAGAGCAAGTGAGTATTTAGGGCTTAATATCTTGGAAGCCCATTTGGAGGTGCTGATTTAGCATTCCACCCTCATAGGGAGAATTGATCCTCTTGTCCTTGCCTGAAGTCAGATAGAGTTAGATGAGATGAAGCTGATATTTGTCTGCAAGCTCACACAAGCCAAATGTTAACCAGCTATTAAAAACTGAAATAATGTTATCTCCTTCCTAGTTTCAAATGACAGCTATAGCAAAGGCTCTCGGCACCCCTCAGACATTCTCTGCCTTTGGAGTGTTTACTTATATTATTTTATTTTATAAAATGTATTTCCTACTGTAAGAACCTATAAAAAGGATTTCCATAATTGCTTTGCCCATGGAAAAGTATAAAGAATGCCTAAGCTGCTGTGGTCCAGTTATTTGTCAGACACACAAACACAGCAGTTCTATCGGACAATGTGGCAATTTCCATAAAGTCTTCACAATTATATATTATAGAAATTCTTTCACTATGTAATGAATATTTTTATTTCTTGATTCAGTCTTATGGTAGCAAGATCATAGTGGGATTAAAAATGTAGATCATTTCTATTCTTTTTAATACCATCTGGGTTTCTCTAATATATGCCACATAGATGTGTGGATTGTAAAGATTATAAAAAGTTGCTTACTTCAATCTGATGATCTTTAGAAGGATTTGATATGTAATTAGCAGATCCATTCTATCTCACTTCATTGAATTTAGATAACTGCTTTATAAATAGGAAAAATATAAAAAAGCTTCAAAACTTTTCATGAAAGTATGTGTACTATTATTTTTAATGATAAATGCATGCAATTTACAAAATGATGGAAAATACACATGGGTAATAAAATATTTTCCCACATCTCACCATCCAAAAATAATCATTATTTACATTTGGTAAAACATATTCTAGTAACCTTTAAAAGCATGTACACAAAATCTGAGATAGATAAATGATAGCTATATAGAAAAAATTATTCAAGAATAAATTCTATATTTTTAAATAAAATAATTTTATTGAAAAAACATATACAAATGATAGAAAATGTAAACTGTACAATATAACATATGATCTTGTCACTCCAAAAAGGGAACTAGGAAATGCTTCAAAGAAAATGTTGGAGCTGGGTAATCAAAGAACAAGGAAGACATATCAAGATGAACAAAGTTGTATGCATGTGTGTGTGTGCAAGATAAAAGATTTTATTCAATGAAAGAAACATTTGTGTTGTAGAACAATGACTGACAGTTTTTAGATTAAAAGAGGTGAATGGTGGAAGCAAAAATGTAGTTATCAGGCTATCTTAATTCTCTAGTGAGTGATGATGGGATCTTTTGTTTTATCAACATCCTTACACATTACTTAGTCAACTCATAATGTAAACAATTCAGGGAAAAATAGTTAACTGTAACATAGAAAAATAATACCTGAAATGAAACAGAGTGTGGTTCCATTGAAGGAAGTTTGCACAGAAAGGATATCTATTTTGATATGCAAAGTAGGTAAAATGCAGGAAGATAGCATGAGAATTAATAACAAATTATAAGTAAAGAAAATAAAGACATTGTCCCAGAATTTCTAGGTAATTGACTGTGATGTTCCTATATCAGAGAATATTTTAGACCTTGATAAGATATTCAAACTCTCACAGACATCTTTTGTCAAGGAAATAGGTGAAGCATATTATTAAGATGATTTCTGTCAGAACTACAGAAATAGAATTGATTCACAAAAGAAATCATTGAAGACTATAGCCATGAGAGTAACTTTGCGATCATGTAAAATCTATAGTTGTCAGTGATGAACCTCTGAGCCCACAGTTTGACTGGTGTGTGTGTGTGTGTGACAACCAGGCATATTTAATCTAGTGTGGAAATCAATATCATCTTTGTTGTCTTCATCTTCATTGCAAACTGGTATGACCACCATGGAAGTCAGTATAAAGATTCCTCAAATATTAAAACTAAAAATTTGATTTTATCCAGGTCTTTCCCTTCTAGATATGTCTAGCTATCTTCCCCAAAGAGTTAAAGACATCATATTACAGTAGCACATGCATATGCAGGCTCATAATAGCTAAATCTTGGAAGCAGCCTTTATGTCTATCAACAGATGGATAAAGAAAATGTGGTATTTATACACAATGAAGTACTCCTGTGCCAGATAGACTTGAGTCATTTATAGGAAAATGCATGCAAGTTTGAGACCATAATTTTAAGTGAAATAAATTTTAAGTGTTTAAAGATAAACAAGATTAAATATTGCATAGTTTCTCTTATATGAAATACTCAAATTACAAGTAAAGAGTAAACTAAAAGATGGATAATGTGAAGTGTGGAGATAGATTGTTCTCAAAGGGCAAGGGGAGCAAGACATGGAGAGTGGAAGAAGATAGAGCAAGGGGATTAAAGAAAACCTGCACTGACTCTACACAAGGAATGTAAATATTGTATATACTGCAACGTGTACTAATAAAAATTTAAAAAATAATCACCATTGAGTTCCAAGCACTTATATACATTTGGAACTGCAACAGCTCCAAGAGTTTATAATGGTAGTCAAAGAACAAGGAATATTTTTCGAGATGAATTGTTTTATGTGGCTATGTGTGTTTGTGTGTGTGTGCATGCACATGTGTGCATGCATGTGTGTGTATCTAAAGATTTTAATCAGTGAAGGAAACATTTGTAGAACAATGACTGGCATTTTTTATCTTTATTCTGATATTATCCCCTTTCTTAAACCATGAGAAAACATGTTGTCAAGTGACTTATGTTGGTAGCCCTAATAAATCCTCAAGTCCCTACCAAACATGTGTTTTGGGAACTCATGCTGAATTCAAACATTTGAAGCCAACTCAGATGATGAAGCCTCTTTTCTGCCTGATGCCCAGGGATGGAATAGGAAAGGGAGGAGAAAGCTCAAGGAGATGGATTTTGGCACAATGGAAGAAAGGCATCATGAATAGTCTGTGTTAATGAAATAGCACTGTAGACTCCCTTGAGCCCCAGCTATGACTAGACACTCACGCAGGAAGAAAGGTGGGGTGAGTGGGTACCAGATATGATTCCAAATCTTTTCATCTAGTAAGACGTCTGATCTTGGTCATGATATTATACAGAGGCCCTATTACTACCATTTCTATTTTATACATGAGGAAAATAAAGTATGCATAGTAACAGATTAACTGGCATCATGCCAAAGGTAAGAATTGGATTAAAACCTACACAGCAAGCTCCAGAGTCAGTCTCTCTCTTCCTGGGAATGCTTCAAGCAAGGAGAGCACATAGTTGAACTAAGTGAGTTTTAAGTTCCCCTCTGACCTTGAGACTTGATCCTCAGCTGACTGAGGCATTCCTATAGCATGCACATAGATGGCATCTCCTTGATACTGCACTGCCTGCCACATCTGGAAATACTTGAAAAGAACTATCTTTGAAGGTCATGCATGGGCAAGTGCTATAATGTGAAAGGAATTGAAATCCTAATTTGAAGAAATGCTCCATTTGCATCTACATACAGCTATATAATTTATGACAGGGAGAGCTTTCAGTGAAGATAGAAAGTTTTACAATGTGAGTGATTTTTCATTTTCCAATCTCAACAGGAATTTGGATATCAAAGAAAAAATTAATCACATTATTAAAGTAATTCAAGATACTGTTTCCAAAGTTTTCTTTTTGCACATATAAGTTCCCTATCATGGGTTGTAATTCCATTATAATAGATAACTGATGTCTGTAAAAATGACAAATATCAAAAACTCCACCAAAATTATGGCCTATTTGCATATGAAGTAGTTTGCCTACCCAACAATTCCCATAAATACTAGTGGGCTACTTAGAAACTTGAAGAAGCACATCAGAACACAA